AAGGAGATGAACACAGAGTGATAGGAAATAGCGGCTATTTGCTTTCAAAAGAAAATAGAAAAATAAGCCCAAGCATGGGATGAGTTTTGTGTCCAGGTCCAGCAGTCCTTACAGAGTATTGCTTCTTCCCGGCTGGTGGCATCTTGATGGTAACAAGGATCCTCCTGGGATGACAGTGACAAAGCAGGAGCGATTGCTTCAAATTAAGGATGGCTTTTGTGAGGGATGCTTAAGGAACAGAGAACAGGAGTTGGTTCCTGCCTCTGATGCTGACCTGCGACCCTGTGACCTTGGGCAGGCTGCTTTAGTTCCTCCATGTATCAGCTCGACTGTTTATTTGTTTGCCATGCAATTTATGCTCATCATCTTGCTTAGCGAGATAACCTGTAAAACAGGAGGGGCATGAACTTCACAGGATCACCAGTGAAGTCCTTTTCTAGTTCTTGAGTTCCTTTCTCCTTCATTTGTCCAAGGAGACACTGCCTGTCTATAGCTTACGAACTGAAGCCAGGCCACAACACAGGGTTACTGGTTTGTCACAGCTTCAGCCACGGGGCAGGGCTGGCTCTAGAACTCCCAGTTTTCCTCCTCCTCCTGTCACCCTACACACGGTGTTAAGGGAGTCGCGGGCTCTTGTAGCATTCTGGGGTCAGAGTGGGTCGGCACTGGCCGCGGTCTGGTCTCACCCCCACAAATGCCAGCCCCAGATGTCACTTCTATTTCTTGAACTTCGAATAGGACTGCCAGGGAGTTAGGGATGGATTGCAGCTGGAAGGAAAGCATGGAATTAACCTTGCTCTGAGGCAAAGCCACACGCTTCCACCGTCTCAGATAACCTTCCGTGGTCCAAGGACCTTAAAGTTGGTCACAAGACTTCTATACTTTTAGTATATTTATTATTACCTTCCGAAGATCTGTAAACCGATACACCCAGGTGGCCCCGATGGTCCCTTTCAGCTCTAAAGTTCTAAAACCCTCTTGTGATCAGAGCTCTAGAGGCGTGCCTTTGCGTGGATGGACCCAGGTAGATTTCACCCAGGCCTGCATCATCCCAGGAGGGCTGTGCGCCAAGCACACTCCGAGCTGTCTCCCATGCTGCTGGCAGTCTGGGTGGTGATGCTGTCTCTCACCACTTCCCCCGCACTTTCATCCACTCCGGTGGTTTAAGCGCTGGCTCCCCGCCTGTGGAAGAGAGGACTTCGACCCTCACCTCCTCGCTGTCTTCCCGTTCCGCAGATGATGACCCAGGTGGAGGGACAGCAGAAGAACCTGGTGCATGCCATCGAGTCTCTGCCGGGGTCCGGGCCCCTCACTGCCTTGGACCAGGACCTGCTGCTCCTGAAAGCTACCTCTGCTGCCACCCTCAGCTGCCTTGGGGAGTGCCTGAGCCTGCTCCAGCAGAGCCTGCACCAGGCCGGTCAGCCCAGCCACAGGCCCGGGGCCTCGGGTAAGACCTCCGGGGGCCCGCCCGGGGCTGCAGGTGTGCGCTCTCTGATGTACGCATGCGTGTGTTTGTCTGCCATCGCCTTCCTCCTTTAAATCCATCCATCTTGCCTTTTATCCAAGTGCTCCTCCATTTACCCCTTCTTCCTTCCCCACCTCGCTTGGGCTATATTTTTATTTCTGTTTTATCCATTAGCAATTGCCATCCTATGCACAATTTAACGTGTTTCCATGAATACTCAAACTACTTTGAGACGTGCTGGCACCCCATTCTCCGTTGCATTCCGTTTGTGAATTTTGCACTCAGTGTTTTGTTTGCAAGACTCATTGCTATGCGGCCTGTAGTCCACTATTTCTTTTCTTTTCTTTTTCTTTTCTTTTTTTTTTTTTTTTGCGGTACGCGGGCCTCTCACTGTTGTGGCCTCTCCTGTTGCGGAGCACAGGCTCCAGACGCGCAGGCTCAGCGGCCATGGCTCACGGGCCCAGCTGCTCCGCAGCATATGGGATTTTCCCGGACCGGGACACGAACCCGCGTCCCCTGCATCGGCAGGTGGACTCTCAACCACTGCGCCACCAGGGAAGCCTTAGTCCACTATTTCTAACTGTGCCTGTGGAGTGCGTCCCCCAACACTTGGCTCCACACCTTCGGACGGACACCCGCCTTACCTCCTGCTCTCTGGACACCCGCTCTCCCTATCTCTTTCCTGTCCCCTCAGGGCCCGGTGTGAGAATTTCTCTGGAATACATAGCAGAAGCATTTCCAGTTCTTTATCAAGAAGCTAGAGATAATAATAACCCCCCTTAAGATGCTCCAGTTCTTTTGAAGTGTTTAATCGATAAGCAGATAGAAAGATATTAGGGAAGATTAAATTAAATGATAAAGGTGAAAATGACTTGAGATTGGTCATGTCATATAGAATTGTAAAGTATTAGAAATAAGAGGTGAATTGAAGCCTCATGGAGCTTTGTTGCCCAGGGTTCAATTAATTAATGAGAAATGAGGCAGTTCAGGTGATGGAAAGTATAGCTGGGTTATGACAGATAGTCTATATTTCATGCTTCCCGCAAGTCGCCTTTGCCTTCCTCTTTCACCAGGGTTAAAAGGGGGATGTTGGTTTCCTACAGTAAACCATATAAGGGTAATTCGGGTTTCTTTCTGTAATACCCACCATCATGTACTAAGCTCTGATTCTGTCAGCATTTGGCTTTTGCTACACATTTTCTGAAATCTTCACCAAGTAGATATTATCATGCCCATCATGTGGGTGAGATGCTGAGGCTCAGAGGGGTTAAATGACCTGCCCGAGGCCACCCAGCTACGGCAGAGCCACGTCTAGAGGTGGGCTCTTCCAACTGTGTGTGGCAGGTGCCTGGGGTCCTTTGTTCAGTCCAGAATGGAACACCCAGCGGACTCTGGGTTCCCCAAACTGGGGCCAGGGACACTGTCCTGCTCACATCATAATTTTCTCAGGGCAGGTCTATCTTCTTTTTCTTTACTTTTTTTTGGAAATAATTTGAGACGTCTAGAAAAGTAACAAGCATAGTATGAAAAATCCTCATATCTCTGAATACTCTGAATGCCAACATTTTATGACATTTGCTTCATTATCTTCTGTCTGTATATATAAGCCTATTATAATATTCTAACCACTTAAGAGTAAGTTGCAAACTTGATATCTATCTTTATTCTTATATACCGCAGTGTAAATTTCATTAAAAGAAAGAAAAAAAAAAAGGACACTCTCCTATGTAATAACAGCGCAGTGGTCAAAATCAGTAAATTAAGATGAATACAGTCCTCTTCCTAATCTGCAGACCTTACTAAATTTTGCTGATGGCTCCACCAATGTCCTCTGTAACAAAAGGAAAAACATTCAGGCACAGGATACAGGCTGGGAGGGGCATGTGCGTCGAGGCACAGAGTGAAGGTACCCGGTCTGCTTTCCTCCTTCCTTCTTCCTTCTCCACTTGAAAAATGGGACTCTGATGCTGAGACTCCCTGACTTTTCCCAATCTGGATGGAGCCTCAGTGAGTGTGTCGGCGCTTGGGCACAAATCAGTGTTAGACTGGATGCTTCTCAAGATTCCTAGGATCCCTCTCACACCAGATTGTGTGTCCAGCCTCTGCGACCGAACAGGCCCATTCTGAGAATGAGTGGATAGAAGCTTGACCCATTTTCTTGTTCCTAAAATTCATCCTCTACACTTTTCTTCAGGGTGGCTTTCTAGCAAATTTCTCATTTTTGTTCCTGATTTTCATTGTGTCTCTGGGGTTTCTAAGGGCCTGGAGGGACAAAGCTCACGGTGGAATTTCAGATGTGGTGACAGGTGGAAATGAGGACTATTGGGTTGCGAGGAGGGGGAGACCGAGCAGTGTCACCGACACTATGCCACCCACCATGCTGCCTTCTGCAGCTCTTCACTGTCCCACCCCTGGCCTGGCCCCGTTTGTCCATCCTCCCTTCCTTTTAGCCATTTTTTTTTTTTTTTAAACATCTTTATTGGAGTATAACTGCTCTACAATGGTGTGTTAGTTTCTGCTGTACAACAAAGTGAATCAGCTATACATATACATATATCCCCATATCTCCTCCCTCTTGCGGCTCCCTCTCTCCCTCCCTATCCCACCCCTCTAGGTGGTCACAAAGCACCGAGCTGATCTCCGTGTGTTTTTAGCCATTTTTACCAAAGAACTTCCTCCCTCTTGGCTCCCTCTCTCCCTCCCTATCCCACCCCTCTAGGTGGTCACAAAGCACCGAGCTGATCTCCGTGTGTTTTTAGCCATTTTTACCAAAGAACTTGGCTGAAGGTTGGAGAATAGAGCATGAAGCATCATAAGAGTTATTTTGTTTCTTTGTCTTCTTAACCCTTCCCAAAGTTACATTCCATATAACACAACCCCTTAGGTTTTAAAACATTCTGCGTGTGTCTTTTAAATCGTGCCACATGCAGTGGTTAAGAATCTGCCTGCCAATGCAGGGGACACGGGTTCGATCCCTGGTCCGGGGAGATCCCACGTGCCATGGAGCAACTAAGCCCGTGTGCCACAACTACTGAGCCCGCGTGCCACAACTACTGAAGCCCGCATGCCTAGAGCCAGTGCTCTGCAACAAGAGAAGCCTGTGCACCGCAAGGAAGAGTAGCCCCCGCTCGCCGCAACTAGAGAAAAGCCCGCGCACAGCAACAAAGACCCAACGCAGCCTAAATAAATAAATAAATAAATAAATAAATAAATAAAGCTGTGCCACACATTTGGGGGAAGAAATGGAATTACTTCCTGCATCCAAAGCATCACAGTTGCCTGCAGTTAAAATGGATTTCCAGACTCTCAAGCTAGCAGAATAAGAGAATCTGACAACCCTGGGAGTGTCACCACAAAATGTGTTTGTTTAGAATCTCAGGGCTCTTGGGGTTGATAGTGGCTGTAGCAGACTGACTCCCGCTGATAAAAACATAATGGTTACATCCAAGGAGTGCCAGGCTGGGTTGATGGAAATCAAAATCTCATCAAAGCCAACCTCTGTCGGGGTTTCCTCTAGATGTTCAAGGGGCCTGGGGCGGGGGATGCAGATCCCCTAGCACCGCCGCTATCCATGGGCATTGTTCTTGAAATGTCTATGCTTTCTGACCCCTGCACTGATCTTTTTCCTTCTGCCTCTCTTCAGAATCAAAAATTAATTTGTGGTTCTTACAGCATTTCATCTTCTGTAGCCTCTCATTGCATCTTCTGGGGAATGTGTCGGCTCTGGAGCCTTTGTCTGCAAATGTTGCTCCCTGATCCTGATTTCATTTCAAACACGCAGAGCAACTGGACCAAGGTCCAGAATTACTTGAGCGTTCACCGGCTCCCACCTATGCATTTCAGGCTCTGGGCCTGTCTCTGATGTTACCTCTAAGATATGCGGGACTGAAGTGCTTCGTTTAACTTCTGTTTATGAAGAGGTTTGTAGCTAAAATTAATAAAGTAACTTGGCTTTTTGGTCAAGGCTTGTGTTATGCAGCTCTCCTCTGTCCTGTTGACTAGATCTCCCCCAACATCTTGATGGAGGCAGTTGATTGACGGGGTGGGGCAGGTGGGCATCTGGTTTCCTGAGTCTAGATGTGCGCCTCTGATTTTACGTGGAGAGGCAGGCAGGGCTGCTCCAGAGATGGCTGGGCTGCTTGGGAATCTGGGCTTGAGGGGGTTTCTGGAACCTTAAGGAGGTATGGGGACAGAGTAGTCTGCTGCCTGTGCTTCTGGGTAGTTCCTCACTTGTACCCTTGATGCGGGGAACTTGCTTCAAAGTCCGTGCAAGACACCTGTGACCAGACCAGCACGTTCTAGTGCGAGGTCAGAGCTGAGTACCAACGAGTGGTGGGTTCAGGGCACGTTGGGAGAGAACACTGGGGTCAGAGCTGCTGGAGCGAGGACGGCAGAGCCTCAGGGAATAGCCGGATGATGCCCATGCCCTTGGACATAAATCAGGGCCAGGAGATCAAAACAAGTGTAATTGAAGAGAGGAGAACCGGAGCGGAATTTAACATGTGCTTCTTAACTTGCCCTTCCAATGACTTTTTCATTCTCTTTTAAGATTTGTGGGGATTGTCAGTTAATAAGCCAGTTGCATTGGTTCCTCCTGTTTGGGGGTTTGGCCAAAAGGGTCAAATAGGTGACACTATTATTATAGGTACTCTTCTTGGCTTTTCTGGCCCGTTGCCGTATTTCTTCTGCTCTGCTTGGCTTTTTTCCAGAAACAGCTTCAGATTCTCAACCTTCATCTCTTTTCCCCACTCAGAGACTCTCTTGGCTTTTCTCTGCCTCTTATACCTTCTTTCTCAATACCTGCTGCTTCTGGTGAAAATGAGTCCCACATAAGTCACCTTCCCTTATTTTGTGATTAAAAGCCAAGACAGAAATGTGACGATTCCTTCAGTAAACAGCATATGGAGAAAATGCAAAAGCTAGCATTGCAGAATATTTCAGATGGTAGTTTTTTTTTTTTTAACAACTGTATAAACAGATTG